CCCCTGCGTACCGACGAAGCAATTTTTACCTCGTGAGTCTTCTACAGCTATCTCGTCGCTATGTGGCGGCTATCCTGTTTCCTTTGGTCGCTTTAGCTTTTTCGACTCCATCACAGATCTTGTAGCAACCGCCATCGCTGGCCGAACAAATAAATGGCTTGGCCATTTACAATTGTTGCATCCATGAGACCGTCCATGGTCAAATGGCAGGATGGCTTGGAGGAAAGCCGTTCCTTTTTCCTATGTCATCGTCGTTGACTACTGCTGCTGTTGGCTGCTAGGCCGGTCATCTTTGGCCACAGATACACATTTCTCGTTTGGTTGCCGTTTGGTTGTGTTCTATGTAGAAATGAAGAGAGAAGGGAGAAAAACGAAGACTCACGTCGTCTTTGATGTCTGCATCCAACACTGGAAATTGGTGAGTCTGCTAGACGTCCTCCAGTTCAGGCAACGACGCCAGCAACCTTTTCAGGTCACTTGCTCAGTGATTTGCTTCGTGTACTCGCTGGCAGATAAGCTCCGCCGACTGAAGTCGTGCCAGTGTTGGTTGGCTACTGGTTGAACCCCACGACGATAACGCCTTTGGCTGCCATTGCGTGTTTTCTTAGCAATAGTTGCAGCGGTAGGCAACGGCCAGCAGAATCGGGGAAGAAATCTTGCGTCTTTATTCGGTGGCTAAATGTGCGTCCCGCAGATACAAATGGTAGTCATAACGGGCTTTCGGAGGAGATTTCCAGATGTAGAAGACTACCACAAAAGAGTTTAGCAAACTTCTGTTTGGCTACGTATGTGTGTAAGGACACTTTCATTTAGCTCTTGCCTCTGTCCGTTTGCGTAGTTCCAGCCCCATCGAAGATCTTTCTTTATTATCCATTCACTAGTCCACATCCCAGCATCGCCTACCCTACACGAATCTACCCTTTGTCTGGTAGCCCTTGGTCTTTTGGTCGTAGTGTCCATCCGACCTTGCCAAATTGCTTGTACAACAAAAGAAGTCTTTTTTTTACTTGGCGCGTCGGTGTCACCCAAAGGGAGGCCGCGACCTAAAGGGGACCTTCCCTTGCCCTAGTTCTTCCTCTCTATCTATTGTTTTTCCCATTTCGATGTGCAATTTTGCGTTACCGCTGGCAGTGAGTTCGTTGCTTGAGCTGCTCCTACTATGTGAGTTGATCAATACCCGTTGCCAATAGAAATCCCTATAATTCAATGACCGATGTTTAAAACATCGACTCGATACCGTCCTGAGTTTTCCTTGTCTTTCTTCCGTTCTTCCTGTTACTATCTTTTTGATTTATTACGTTGTGAGCTTGAGCCTTTATCGTTGCCCGGTCTCGAATACTTTCAAGTAGCGTATACTGATTGTTATGGTGCTTTCCAGTCGGTTTAGGACCCGCCACCGAGATATACTACCATACAGCATGTGTGAAAAAATAGATTAACTTTGTATGGATTGATAGAAGTTGTGCACAATGGCCTTTGCGTACATCATACAGCCGGATAACTGAAATCGACTAATATATATGTGTATATACGATGGGTGTCAATATATGAAAATACGCCGCTACTGAGTAAGTACACCAAGAGTGAACAATATTATAACCTAGTAACTAGTGGTAAAATGACATCTTTATTAAATAAGTTTGTGTGAAAGCAAAGATATATCAGTTCCTGCCGTTTCAGTTTTGTAACGTCGAAGGCTGTACAGCTCTTGAACCAGTTCAGACCACAGCAGGATAACCGGGAATCGCGTGAATCGATTTGCGGTTTTTATTTATAAAATACGAGTGCTCATTATTCATAAGTGAGTTTCTTTGAAAGGTCAAAGCAATTTGTGACAAAACAGGATCGTACAAGGCAGCGCCATGAGCATCCGTTGTGAATTTTATTTGTAACATTGTTGTTAGGCCTGTTTGAGGTTTGGATCCCAGGTCTCAGTGTGGTGCTGGCCATCAATAAATAACTATGATAGTAAAAAGAATTTTTATACATAATATGTCTATTTACAGCAGACGTTGTATAACATTATGGACAGTGTAATTTCAGAGCCTTCGAAAACAGCTATAACTATGTTCTAGAATATGACGGTAACGATTAAGGGTATCGCATAGTTAAACTTATTTTGTACAGTGTCTGAAGTTCGGCTCCGATGACGGTTAGATGTGCCCTGTTGCTAGCTGCAGACTGGTAGGAAATACGGGTGCAATGATGTTTGTAGTAATCAAATGCAAAAAGCCAGTTACAACTAGGAGTCCAAGCCAGAGCCCCATAACTGCTATGCTAAATGCTCTAATCGTTCGTCACTACTTTGTATACAGTTCGGTGTTCCTGTTAACCTTAAATAGACAATATGGGGTATTGAAGCAAACCTTTTGGCTTCATTTTTATGTTCACATCAACGTGTTATACACCACGGCTGGAAGTATTCCGGATGGCAAGACTGCAGAATAGTTAGAAGCCCCCTTATTTAACTTTTTGTTATGAAGTGAGTTAGGCGTGTGAGACACACCTTTGGTGCGACTAGAAGGAAGTTATTTGTCTGAATATATCTATGAATAGATCTGTTTCCATAGCAACAATTTTGAGCCACACCCCAAGTGAGAAAAATATTACCCGTTAAAACAGAATTAACTACTATTATATGTCGTCAACAATACTGCAAGTATTGCGTCATCAATAATTTAAAATAAAAAAAATGAAACGCTATTTTTAACGATGCCATTGTTTGCTTCGTTTCTTCTCCAAAGAAATGACTGAAGTTACATTATCAGTATAGAAAGTCGAAAGCTCACAGTTGCTCATACTTGCGCTTAACATTAACGTAACGGCTCGTCTACGATATGCCACGTGACGTAAACAGCAAAACGAAATCCGTTGCGGAGCAAAACTTGTCCAAATAGCGATTCCCCTTCCTTGCGAGGGTACAACCTTCGAATAACTTTCGAATAAGGATATCTATATATTTATTAAAAGCATCTAGTTGGCAATCAGTTTGGTGTTTGTCGTTTTTGTTACTAAATATTTGGTTCTAGAAGTAAGGAACTGTAGTTGCTATATATTGCTGCTAGTTGAATTTCGGGATCTATACACAATATTTTGTTAGAAAGAAGTACTCTACCCAAAGGAAAATGTACTTCCTGATAATGATCTGCTAGGCTCTTTTAGAATTTGAGGACCTTTCATGAATATATGTTTATTTCGCTACTGTATATAATCCTACGCTTTCACTCCGTTTCGAATGTCTGCGGTTCGATTCCGCTTTGCGGCCGAGTTTGCCTGTTCTAGTTGTGTTGTATTGCTATCTTGATGAGGCAATTGGGAAAAGGCTGCCTATGGTTTATGTATTGCATTCTACGTCGAAATTACGGTGGTGTATAACAGTATTTAATAGACGATTACGTGAAAGTGCTCTTGTAGAGTCTCTTGAATTATCGGGCTGCACCCATTCCTAACGTTGGATAAACTTACTCTTCGAAGCCGGCTTGTATCTATTACCATGAACGAAAAAGATCCAAGTACGATAACGTCTAGAGTTTTATACCGAATACACAGGTAAAGACAGTGGTCACAGTACAAAAAGCCAATTTTGTTCCTTTCGTTAGAATGGGTGGCCGCCAGTGCCTGCCGTTCACGCATAACTCTGCCCAGGAATTTTTTTGCGGTGGTTTTTTAAGTTTTAAATGAGGTTTCAATTGAGTTGTACCATTTTAAGACTGATTATTATGCTTCGTATTAGAGATGTATGCAAATTTAAATGGCTGCAAGTTAGACGGTAGCATTTTCCACATCTACAGCAATAGTACAGAAATACTTGTTCTGTTTTTAAAAAAAAAACATCTGCTTAAAGACCGTTGTAGTAACAGTAGCAGTATAATAATGAATTCTTGACTTCATAGCGGCCAAATATATCTGAGGAAATTCTATGAATTAGTGATTAACGAATTGCTATTTCCTACGAGTTCCGACGTAAATACCGGATCTCTCGACAACTGCTAACTGTTTATATATACATCTAATCTAAGTTTAAATAATGTATGCGTAAATATTATTGCTGCTCTGTAATTCATAAAAAGCAATACATAACTTGCGTATGACATCGAATTCTTTACCGCGCAAAAGTCTGTTGAGATAACAAAAAGGGACTGGCACAAAACAACGTGGTTCTCTTACCACAAACACTGCGCAATTCGCCCGGGACGAAGGACGCAAGCGAAAACAAACTAGCCCTAACGGCAGCTGTGTCTGAAGGACGACTTTAGCAGCAGCATTTCCCATCCGCTCCCACAATCGCCCCTTGTATCAGAAGTTCGTTACCAAATAGCTGCAGCAATGCAAGCGTCTAAGAAGACGACAACGCAATTGCTATAAGTCTGTGCGACGTTCACTTCGCGCGGCCCTTGACTCGCTGCTTCTGTTCTTCTATCTGGCGTAGTCCGTTCTAGCCCTGTAATAGCGCTGAACCTAGGAAAGAAGTAGGCACAACTATAGCATGTTCTCGCTTCCCGCCCTCCCAATAGTCCCTTTTTATGCTTCTAAACCCGAGTCCTTAACTCCATCCCGCCTTTGCCCTCAAAGTGTACCCCCTATGTGTCGCCCGAGGATGCTAGCCTTTCTTAGATCCCTGTTCGCAATTGCGCGCCTTATGAGCCTCAAGGGAATCGTGACGTTCAAAAAGACCAGATCCTGCTTCTCGTCGCTAGTTCAGGGCCCTCGAATTTAGGTAGTCGCCAAAAATGAAGCCTTCCTCCTATCCGACGTCGTGTATCCCTTCGTTGACACTGCCTGTCGTACTGGCGAAATACATACCTTGTACATGACGTTACAGGGCGCGGGACTGGGTCGGCAAAAGAGAAATCAGAAGACGACAGGGGCAGACCAAGCGAATGACAAAAACGGGCAGGCGAATGAGCGGAAAACGGTCACTGGAGGAAGGGAGCGAGCGAAGAAATGACAGAAAAAAAAACTGTGCAATAGAAAACACCGGCGGCGAAAGACCGCCCAACTCGTATTTTAGGTCCACAAATTTTATTGTTGTCAAGCACTAGCATGTTGTCGCGTGCTATATATATATGTGTGTCACCATGTAAAGACTGTGTACCATGTCTGCCTCATTGCGAGTTGCTATGAATGCCTACGTATACTTCGGCTATTTTTTCGTGATCTTTCTCTCCCTGTTTATCAGTTATTTATTTCTTTATTCTCGTTTGTTTTTATGTTCTTCGTTATCCTCCTACTGCTCCTGCTTTCTTCATTTTTCCTCTTCGGTTCTTCTGCTTTCCATTTCTCTCATTTTGTTTGGCGACTCTCTTCCACGATCACTGTATTGCTAACCGTATATGTGTGTGTATATAAATAGGTTATATGTCCTTGTTTTGACAATAAATTATTCTGCCCCTTGTTCTGCCGCCAGTCGCCAACACAGGTCATTCATCGCCAGTGATGACTGTACGGATGAACTGAAGAGGAAAGAAAATGGGCGGCAATGTCTGTTTCGCCCATCTTCTGCTGAAAGACAGCTGAGATTTTCATGTATGCTTTGGGGTAAAGTTGAGAGCGTGAAGCTAAGGCAAACATGATAGGGCAACAACCTCTATACAGGACGGTAGTGGCGAACTGGAAGATTGCGTAGGCTGCAATATCATTGGAAGGTCAAAAAACCAAGGACTCCGCGCCCCATCCGAAGAAAAAGTAGCAGTGGAAGGCAGCGCGGTAACTTTCTTTCATCTTGGTATATATTTATGTAAATTTGTGGTAGTAGGACATAAATTATTAGAGGCAAATCGAATGACGAAAACCACTGCTACTATGATCCCACAGCCGCTATATTCTTCTATCTGAAAAAGTTCGCATTTTAGCAAAAAAGATTGCCACATGCGAACAAGGAGTAGTAGGTGAGAGTAGCTATGGTAGTGTCAGAAAGATACTTCGATGGAAAAAAGAATCGGTGGCATGGATCAGGTGAAATTTAAATAGGAAAATTGGTGCCGAAACATTTTTTCAAAGAGATTTCAGTGAAAGTAATGTACTTTTAAAAAAAAAAGTAGGGATTACTGGAAGATAAAGGCGAAGCCGTAGCCTCATTGGTGACTTCTAGTAGGATACTAAGAAGAGATGATAGTGAAAAAATCAAGTTCGAAGATGAATTCAAGAGATTGGAGGATTGCTTGGCAAACCTCTCGGATGTCCGTCCTTGTCGACCTTCTGTTGTGCGGAGATTCGGTAATACCCAATTACCTAACTAGATTAGATACTGGCAGCTGGGTACCAGCAGCGAAAATTTGGTCCTGAACCCCTTTAGTAAGGGCTGGACCGATGGGGATGAACCGTATTACTTAAAACTTTCTTAAACATCTAGGTAAAGGTTCCTGCACGTTTTAGTGAGATCCGGCTGTTTCCGTTTCGCTCATATGAAAATTTTCTTGTCGCTCGTTTCACTGCTCTGATTGTTTTCAATCAGATTTCTAGAAGAGTTAAAATTTTTATAATTCATAGTCGATGCAGCGGTAAGTGCTATTGTGGATTCCGTGCTGGGTGTGACAGGTAGGGTTGTTCCTTTTGACTTTTCAGTCTCGGACTGAACAACGACATCGTTCGATTCCTTATAATCCTCTGGTTTCATAACAGCATTGCGACATTGCTCACGAGATACATTGATCGGCCAATTGCAAATGAGTTTATCGGTATCCCACACTGTTTTGCTGGGGCATTTCTTTAGCTCTGGTTGACCGTGTACGCATAAATAGTACATCGCACACTCTGTAAAAAGAGGGGTGCACATATATTTAAATGTTAGTACATTTCTATATTACTGAACATTGGACATACATGTAAAAAACACAAGAAAAATCAAAGATCGCTAGGTAATTGACCGTCCAGTCAGGTTAGCATCTTTCGCGACGTTTTGCTGTGAGACTACGGTCGCTTTCTTGAATGTATATCATACAAAAGATCAAAGTCGTGCATCTCCCCTTAGACATCTGTGAAACTGACTTACGTATGCGCCTCTTCGAAATGTCGCCTCTAAAAACGTATATTATTGATATGGCTCCGCGCATATAAGGCGTCCCCGTCTTCCGCTACAGCCACCTGAAGCTTACATCCATCGTACAACCTGCTACCTAACGCTGCTCCCAGCCATAGCCAACTGTCGTTGCTATCAGTCGCCTGTGGGCGAAGGGAGAGAAAAGAGAAGAGCAATCCGCGAGCGCAAAACTGACGCGGTTCTGTGGACTCTCTGGAGAAATCGTGACAGCTCAGTAGAATGTCAAGGCACACTCAAAGACGAACATAGGGCGATAAGGGACGACAGCTGCTACTATTAGAGTGTCTGTATAGATTTTCCTCGTTCCCACTGAAACTGTCTGTCAGCCGGCACGCAGGGATGCTCCTCTGAAAAATTTACCGCTAACGCTGTACGCAAGAGGCTTGACCAGAAAGTCTTGCTGTGTAAGCTTCCCCCATTGCAGCCGTCACTGTCAAGGAATGCAGCGGCGCACAAGAGTCCGCCATGGGTATACGTACCTAAAGCAACCAGAGACTAGTTACAACCAGCACAATGCGATCGGTACCCCTGTAAGCTTTGCTGGGCGACGGATTGAGCCCACGCAGTTGAGAGGCGGTTACGACGCATTTTTACTGCGCTGATTCGGCAGATGCTGGTCGAGATAGGGCAGTGGTAGGTGTCAGGTGAGACAGCTGCGTGAATGATTTACCTTTCTCGTGTGGGTAGAACATGAATTGCGGGTCCCTGCAGACCTTGGAGTCAGGCGGTAGGACGGGTCGTCTTGTCGTAGTCGTGGTGGACGAAGTTGACTTACTTCCAGAGCTAGAACCAGAGCCTTCGTCCATGGGACGTGACGTTGTTGTCGTCGTCATCGTCGTCGATGGAATTTCCGGCGGTTCGAAACTGTCCATAACTGAACTAATCATGGTCATAAGTGGGTTTTTCATACTATGGCAATCGGCACGGTAGTCGTCCATGTCGACAGCCCAAACCATTGCCCCTCCGTAGCCTTGCTTAATGATGAAGTCAAGTTTGATAGCTAGCGATTGTTCATCTTCGTACCCTACCCACTGGTCATCTTTATAAGCGTAGGGACATTTTCCAATATCGTCCCACTCCCGTTTCCATCCGTTGTCCTGAACGTTTTTGCAGATCTCGAAATAGGCGTGGAAACCACTGGCGTTAGTGTAGGGACCGGGCTTGCCACCATCGGTGTCCCAACGGCGGATGCCCGCGTGCAGTCCGTGATTGTCTTTGCTACCTAACGTATAGGTACGACCATAAATCGGAATACCAACGATCAGTTTGTGTTTGGGTGCTCCGCGCTCTACCCAAAGTTGGAGTCCGTCGCGCTGTAAATGAGGTCATCACAAAAGCAGCAATATAACTCATTTAGCATCTTCGCTTATTAAACGCAAATCTTCATCGCACAACTGACAATCCCGATTTCAGGTTATTTCGTTTGTAGAAAAACTATAATTATGCACACGTTCAAGCTAGTTTTCCGGTTTTGGTTTTATATATATATATATATATATATATATATTCTGAATTCGCTTGGTTTCGTTCAAAAATTAATCAAACAAGCACAAGGTATACAAGCAAGACCTTAGTTACATTGCGCACGAAAGGTCTAAATCTATATTCCGTATCATCTCAGATCACTCTACACGAAAGAACTTTCTATACGAATTTCATAACCAAGTAACAATGTACATAAATAAAAATACTGCCATACCACATTGAGTTTCGCATAACCCCAATCGTCAAACGGTCGGGGATAAAGCGGACTGTGAACATCGGTGAAGCCGGCCCAGTTACCTCGTAGATCGTAAGACATAACGTGAATATGATCGAATAGTTGAGCAAGGGCTTTGACCTCATATCCTTCATCTAAGCGAAATTTGGCGATTGGTACAGCAACTGCAAGCAATAATGGATTCACTCAATTATACAAAGTTTCACCGATAACACGTTCGCTCAGATGGGTGGGCTGGCTCTAACTGATCCTCGAAGCAGCTTTGGTTGGTTGGGGCATTCTAATAAGGGTCTGTCATTCTTTCAGAGAATGGCTTGCGCCGGGTGAGGGGACCCGTCTCGAGCTGTCGCCTTTTCGACACTACTTCCTTTCAGGCTCATCTTCCTAACGGATGTCTCCGTATCGACAGCCCATCTCCTTGCCAACCAGTTCAGGTGGCAATCCACTCGGCTAGCTACTATGCTCGTTCACTCGTGGTCTGTCACTACACTGTTTCACGTATACTGCCATTCTTAGTCTAGCTAGTAGAGCAGCATTCTCCAAAGAAGCGGTACGTCAGCAAGTGAATTCATTGCCCGGGCGCTTGAGTTTCGCCAGTCTGTCACAACTTACATCGTCTACCAATCTCATCTATTTTCAAATGACTCACCGGTCAGAAGGAGACGAGGTTCCTGCTTGTCGAATTCAGCGCGTAACTCTTGGACGAGTTTGAGGAAGTTCTCTTTGTCAGAATATTTGCCTTGGCGGTCGGATGCTCCTGGATACTCCCAGTCGAGGTCAAATCCATCGAAATCATGTTCCTTGACCCACTTGACTGCAGACTGCACAAATGTTGCACGCCGTTCTTTCGAGCTTACCATGTCCGAGTATTTTTGGCCACCTTCATCCCAGCCACCAATGGCTAGAATTGTTTTGAGATTCGAGTGCTTTCTCTTAAGATCGTTGAAGCGTTTATAACCGTCTGGAAAAAGAAACGAAGAGTATTGAAGAAAGGATAGGGGAAACTCAAGAGTGAACAACTTACAAAGTATCGAATTAGTGTAGAGTTTTTATTTGTCGATAGCGCTGCTCGATGCAGTTAGTACATTCGCCGGCGAGAAGTGCGTTTTAAATCGAAAATCTCGAACAGCCGCAGAATGAGAGAACGAAAAATGTCCCCGCCCATTGGCTACTCTCAAAACGCCTAGGCCTCTGGCTAACTGCAACTACAAAGTAGTATAATAATGTGACAGCGACTCGAAGGTGTCATATCCCTTCTGTCCTTACCACCGTCTCCTTCGTTGACTCGAATGACGTCGTTCTCGTTCGTATTCGTTTCGTTTCGTCGTTCGCATCTGTGTCGTTGTTGGCTTGTTCGTTATATCCTTCCCTTTGCCGTATTCTGGACTTAGGCATCCGACCGTCCGTTTTTGCCTTTGCACCCGAACCTGTAGCAGCCACCGCGCCACTGTTCAGTTTTGCCACCTCTTTTCCCTCGCCTGCACTTTCGCGTTTCATTTCATTCTTTCGTTTCAAATTGCTCGTTTCTTCATCGGCTTCATTCTCCGCTCATTCTGTGCGTTTCATTCTTCGTCGCCTCACTCTTTTTATGTCGCATTCTCCCTGTCCCATTTTTCCCCGTCCCGCCGGTTCGTTCATCGTTCACTCTTTTTCCATTGCCTCAAGTCTCTCAAATGAAATAAGACGAGGGAGCGGCAACGGCAGGAACGATGGAGGCTGTTTCTCTGTATCTTGTTGACTGCTTCTCCTGCTACTAGCCGTTTCGTTCAGCTGACTTGTGCCTGGTCTACCCCTTTGCCCCTTCCCCACTTTCTCCTATACATGTGTATATCCCTGCTGATGTCCGCTGGACGTAATAGCGACGTAGCTGTAGCTGCTCTTCTTGGCAATCCCACTTCACGGCTGGTTGGCACAAGAGAATTTCGATGCCGTTTTGCTTGACGTAGTCGTCGGCCTTCAACATCGCTGCATCGCTGTCGCCAACACCACGACCGCTGCTGCTGCCACCTTCAGCACAAGCGTCAAATCTCATTATGTCATCGTCATATTGATACAAGCAGCCCACAAACAGCAATAGATGCTGCTTCTATTACGGCTGTTGATAGTAAAACGCTGCCGATGGCGCCAACCCATGCACTGCCGGAATGCATCCAGTGGAGGAAATAGGGAGACAGCGCTCGTTTTGAAGTTCGTCGCACAGCATACGGCCATCGCCACCGTTTCAGCTACTCCCGTCCATGTCCGTATCTCTATACCCTCTTTTATCTATACCAACCAGCACCGACTGCCTCAACCGACCGCAATCGAATAGTGAGTGGCTGGTTGCCCCTTGTAACCCTCATCCTTCCCTTTCTACAAGTATCACACTTGATCCGCTCGTCGGCTTCAGGCCCCCCTCTCGCGATCCGAAGCTTCTTTGATATCCCCTGCTATCGCCATCGCCTTTTCTCGTCTTTATGTCACCTTTCTCCCCCTCTCTAGGAACCCCTAGAATACTCATCCATATCAACCAGGCTGTTCTGCAACTTACCCCTCCACATGTTGTCTTTCCATCTCAACAACAGTAGTAGCAGCACTAGCACTAGTATAGCCTGCGGGCCTGACTCACCGGCAAGCCTAGTCTCACCTGTCTTCTGTTCGAATTTCGAAACGGTGACTACTGCAGATGCAGGCCATTGCAGGAAGGTGGGGTACACTCAAGCCAGTCACGGCAGATGGTGCTAGGTGGGAATAGTCCCTGTGACTCTTAAGTTCGGCCAAAATACGGTATAATAGGACATTTGCGTTTTACAGGCGCATGTGCATACCCTCTTGGCCTAGCTAAGCGGGCACCGTGTGCTGGTTAACATCTAGCCATTACAAAAGCCGAATGTACCTAAGCTTTTTCGACCATACAATATATCGCGGCTTCTTAGTATTGGTCTAAGGACTTCATTGTTGTCGCAAGAAGGATATGATATGGCCAATGGTGAGAGACGCTGTAATGGCTATAACGAACATGTATCTCACAAACGAGATATAGAGTTGTACAATGTAGTGAGTAAAGGAAAAAAATGTCTGAAGTATATGATGCTCTAGGGAACGAAATCTTGGCACCGTTATATTGTGGTCATATAAACTTTTTGATGGTGATTAGACCTTAGGGAACACCCTCAGCTGAAGTTGACTGGGAAAAGTTTAAAATGGACGACATCGCAAAAAGCGATAGACTCGTACATTATCAATTTCTCGTACGTTTCTGTCTACGTAGCCGAGTAATCAACAATACTGGGAAAAATTGAAATAGCTAAAGATAAATTGAAATATTTTTCATCAGGGTACGCATCGCATATGTATATATATAGTTTTCACGGTTTTATGGATGAACAAACGCACTTACTTTTCTCGATGTCCAAATTTGGGTCAATTGCCATCACCTCCCAGGTTTTGTTGCTCAGCCCAACGAACGAGTAAATAAGATGGGTGCACAAGTCTGCAGGAATATCTTCAATGTCGTAGCTATAAGGAGACGGTCGGTTGTATGCCCACGTCTGGTAGTAACATACCACCTTACCACGACCCACCGTTTGGCCTACAAGTCAGTAAGCATAATTAAATTGGAGAATACAGTTATTATCAAGGATGGCTTTTTTTTCAGTAGTGCGCTGCGTTCAGATAGCCTTAATATTACTTCGCAGAATGTGGCCTTGGGGCTTTAAGCCCTATATCATTTTTCTATATGCTGAGAAGTATGGTTTAGATGGGCAACTATTTATTGGAGAACAAATTTGTATTTTTTACAATTTAAGCCAAACTGCCGTATCCATTTTATTGTTAGTTTTCGGTTTCGAACGTGATTACTAAGAATCAGTAGCTTGACTTTTTTGCGCAAGCGACATTACTCATATATTATGTAGAGCGACGACAGCGCTATTCAGATTTTAAATTTGTATGTGAGATATAACCCCTATGTGAAGATAATTGATATTTGTTTTTTACTTCTCTAGAATCTATTGATGCTCACACGATCTACCGACGTATCTCGGGAACTTCGCAATATAAGCATCTGAAAAGTTGGCCAGAAAAAGAGACAAATGCAGGCACTTTCTGGGCTTCATGCAAATGGGCTTAGATTTATTTCGATGCATACTGCTAGCGCAGGGACTACACGTTAACGAGATTCGTCAGACTCAGATTGAAAATGCAGTTTAGGTACATCCAGAGCAAATAAGTTAACATTATTTTTTCCTCATTATTTTTTTAAATCAGTCTTCTTGCTTTTTGTGTACGCACTCGATTTAACATATGTGAAGTCAAATCTGTACTTATCTAGCAATCTTCACGAAATGAATAGTGGTTATTAATCAGCACACATTCTCGCCTGTGATAAATCAATATTTCTTGGTAATTACCCCATGTCCAAATAGCTATATAAGATTTGGCCAATGTTTAATATAAATCAATTGCAATTTCTATCTCCTAATGAAATATTTTCTTCATATTTTATCAATCGTTATCCGACTGTATCTCCTATTGAACTGTATCTTTCTAATTCTGCAATTTTTCGCTATACTGATTTATGTTAGTAAGTTTATTTTCGGTTAGTGAGCACAGCTCAAAGGAATTAACTGAACGTTTCCACTTAGCATCAAGTCTCGACTGGAGTAACTTGGAGCAATAGGCATCACGAAAAGTCCCAAATGTCAGTCCACGCCTTTAACTCTTAACTAAATTTCAAATGAAAATCGACCTTGCCAGTTTTCATGCCTGATCCACGGTGAGGTAGCGGTGCCATTCACCCGATGGCTATAGTAGCGTGGCCATATCGTGCGGGCCCAAACACGCTAAGTGACGCACCATTGGAGTAGAAAACAAAACGAAAACCACCATATTAACCCCGAGCAGCTGTGTGAAGATTTAGCAACATCGAACAAATAAATCGAAGCCTGGAGGTGGCCAGGTCCATTGCTATGCCGTAGGAAAACTCAAAGTTATCCAAATATACCCAGTGATTCAAAAGTCCGCTATCGACATTTTCGTCTATTACTATGGTCGGGAGCTTCATTTTCATTTTTCATAACTCACCGTCAAGCTTGGACTCGCCGACTACTGCTGAGGAAACGATTCCTGGAAGGAGGAGAATAGTCAGTGGGGCCAGAATTTTCGGAAGGGCCATCCTAGCAGGGAGTCCAATGGCAGGTCGTTCAACGATGGAGAACATAAACTCTAAGACACGAGACCCTCTGGAGCTACGCCACTGTCACACCACTGCAGCGGACACGAGCTTAGCAATGGTTATATATGGAGCATCTGCCATGGTGTACCTCGCTCGCGGGGTTCATTCTTTCAGCTGTAGACCAGCCTTGCCATACGAGCAGTCCTTGCCTGGAAAGGGAAGAGTTGTGCGGGGAATACTTTAAGTCCATCACGTACCACGGCGTTGACTACAACGCCGTAAGCTGTTGCTGTTATTGTAATGAATGTTTTGACTTTACAACACAGCACAGTCTTCAGTAGTTTTCTGTTCCGCTATCCCGTCCAAAGTAAAGCTTGCCGTATCGGCTACGACATAAAGCGATTTTTCGCTCTCTTCACACATCGCTCCGGCTCCTGCTTATGCTATCGTCTTTGTTATTGTTTTTTGTAGTAGTATCTGCTGTTAATCATAGTCATCATAGTTTCAAGCGGGCCTGCTGCATAATTGGGTCTGCATCCATCGTTAGCGATTTGCTGCTCTGTGCTGATACAAACGATAACCCAGAAAACGACTTCCAATTCAGTAGAGACACAGCATCGAATCGGTCAGTTAACGGAACGTAGAAACAGCAGCAGCAGCAGCGTATAATATAGAGGGAAAAGATGAAAAAGGACAAAAGCAAAAAAAAGGAAACGAGAAGAGAGTGCGCGAATTGGCGTAAAAAGGGTAGCAATAGCGGGTTTACTCGCCGACTTTCCTGGCTGACTAGTCAGAAACGCGCATAAAGGGAGTGGATATTGGCAAGCAAAAGGTCAGAAATCCAGCGGTGGGTTCTGCAGACGCGGAGCCGACGGGCCGATTAATCCGTCAACGGTTTTACTGCATCGAAAAGGCAGTCGCAGCTGTTACAGGCAAGCATTGTGCGTTTCGCGCTGCTGCCGCTAGAGAAAACATTGCGGTCACCATTTAGCATCAATACCGTTTGTCCTAGCATTTTCCTGCGTTAGGAGGTGTTACCCCAGACGCAAAGCTTAGCGCAATTTGGTAAGAGCATTTCCTCAACGATCTTGGCCGCAAATCACATAGCCGTCAAAGACGCCTAATGTTTTGGTACTTATTATTATTGTTCACTAAGGCTGACTGGGTCATGTGATGCTTGCTAACGATGGGAGCTGAATGAACCTTTCGATATTCTAAAATCACAAAGCGAGGACGACAATATGGCAAAATTGTTTGGACTCTACAAGAATCTAGTGGTAAATTTTTGGTAACCAACGCGTTTCTTAAGCCAGCGTCGTCAGAGGCTTCGAATGGTCCACATGATGCTATTAATGATAAACAACTGGAAAAACGTGCTTGTTAAATCTAGCAGAAAAGATTTAAGCTAGCTAATGTTTGTTTCTTTTTTAGATAACAGCAGAAACGACGAAGTAAAAGCCAGAAAATGGCGTAAACGATATTCTAATTGCTTTTCAGTAACGCACATTTATTACGTGGTAAACACAAGAGCTACCCTTGTGTTGCTTTTTGGGGATCGATTTTATGTAATCTGCGCCACCTGCGAATTGGACACGACACTTAAGTTCGCACACCGTTTTATGTGACCTGGAACTATAGCTCAATCTGCATTACGGAAAAAAATCTCTTAGCAGATGCATTTCTATATTCAGTGAACTTTTGAAATACAACTTCTCACGTAATGACGTTTTTCATCGAGGATCGGAATGTAAAATAGGCGTCGACGATACAGAAGTTTACCGCGATCTGCTAAAGCTGGTGACGCCCAGGAGTCAGCGATCAATCCTACGACTTCCAGAAAATCATAGAATATTGGTGCCGGCAGTTTCTTCATCTTTGAGAAAGTAGGGCATTGTAGCTTTCATCGAAATCATCGCCCTACGGCGAACTTCATCTGTGATAAGGAATAGTATAATAGGCATCACCGCACAACGATATTTAACCCTTCGTATTGGAGCTGAATTTACGCCCGTCATCGTCAAGTTACTCCCTAAAGCCAACCGGTGTGGGCAGTAAGCTTGCCGTGCCATTTCAATAGACGTCGACGGTGCTGGTGGCAGGATTTTCCGTTATTCACTTTGACCGAAACTCGCCCCGCTGCACTGGGAATGTCCCAGACTTTCGCTGGATTCATCTTTCGGCTGCCGGAGGTCGACCCATTTTCCAGAAAGCTTTGTTGTCGCAAAACGCTAGCGAACCCGATAAGAACAGCCAGTAAGAGCAGTTAAGAGACGCTTTCCAAAGTCAACGACGGATTTGCTGCTGTCTGGACAAAGAAGTCAGTTTTGTACAGCTCGCTCACAATCATCATTCTGTAGAAAAGTGTCTGCTTCCGGAAAAAGGCCACGGTTATTTGTCTAATACACGAATATGAACGAAGACGTGTAGAATCTGCTGTTTTTTTGTCTTTTATTGCTTTTATCTGACCTTCTTGACATATTGTGAATGGTTATGGTAAAATTGTGGCTAGGGAACATAGCTCAAACACATTTATGAAGCTATGACTATTTACTGGATTCTAGATATGAGAAAGCCTTAACATGAGCTTGCTATCGGCCTGAAAATGTATACATTACAGATGAATGTTTGATTGAAAGAGATATACAACATAAATTCATTCGGTCAATAATAGACAAATCATAATGGACAGTTTAATTTAACGACATGGCCCTTAGTCTTGCAAGCCGGTAATAGCTAAATACTTTTCCAAATTGTTCACTGCCTTTACTAAGAACCTGGCCAGTAATAATAATAATAATAAGTAATAATAAAAATACGTACTTTTTAAACGCTATTAAGAGGTTCCTATCAATTCAGGTAAAACTGAACTTCTCGAGTGCACTTGCATGAGTAGGACAAGGAATGACCAGACACAGTGTCGCCTTATAGAGCTTCAAATGCTTTACCAGGGGTAATAGTATCATAAAAGAATGGCTGAACTCAAATATTGGTTTAACCGCTGTATTTTCGAGTCAATGCTCGAATACAGAAGGTATCAAGCAGAAAATGCTATTGCGATCATTTACGACAGCTCTATAGAGGAACGCGGTAGAGAAGCGAGAAGCCTCGTGTCGTGAAAGAATAACTAGATCACAAAGCAAGGGCCGCTGTGTGTCAGATTAAAAAAAAAAAGTGCAATATTACGGTGTTCTGCTGCGTTGCGGCAGGCAGACCTATTTTAGCTGTGAATATTACTTTAGCTGTGTATTTATTCTTCAAATCACGACCTTTTATGAAAATAAACTTCTATTTCAAAAATCAAACCTCTTACTGGTTTTCCCGTTATCACAATGGAGTGAGCATATTGATATAAACGCCTTACCATCTACCCAGCAGTCGAGGCAATAGGTCCAATCGACTTTGCAATTTTTTAAGATACTTTGACTGTCATGATCTGAGTTTGCTGTTTTCGTTTAACGTTTCACAGGAATAGCATTCCTTTCAAAAGGGCAGCTATAAGGACGAGCTGTTGTGTATCGACAGAGTTTCTCTGCTAGTGCCGATGCTGCTGTTACCACAGGCAGTGACGAACGTTAGCAGTGGCGACCGGGCACTACTCAACATTTGTCGATAGAATCGAAATTGACACTCGAAAAGATGTTCAACTCCATAAGTTTTGCCATGGGCATGTTCCTGTCTCAGAGGCAGCACTAGGAATCGAACCTCCTACAGTCACCCCGTTGTATCATTCTTTCCATATATGCCTTACACGAAAGCCAAGCTGCCAAGAGACTAGCAGCAAACGTTTGAATCCCCTAGAGGGATTCCCGTATTGTAGCAATTGGTCACGACTGCCTCCTCGTCGGCCCTGGGCACGCTTCTAATGGCCAGACAGCTTCCTCTATTTCCCTTTAGTCGTCTGTCTCGGGGGTGTCGGTCTCAATATATCAGCTAGACGCGAGCACGGCGGTCACTTTAAATCTTAATGTGTGGCACGGGTCGAAGCTTCACCGAGAGGCGACCAGAGATCTAAGAGGTGTTCCTATTTTGAGCAGACAAAGCTCGTGGGTTGGCTGGCCGGACGCCCACAGGTCCGGCTATCTTATGGTGGCGATGGTTGGATCAACGGGGTCTTCTATACTGCTGGTTAGATGGCCGTGGCGGTAGCATAGATGAAGGGATGGCTTTAGGCAGCCAAGCAGATAGGCTGGCTGGCTCAGAACATGGTAAGGAACAGCGGGTCCATGTCGGGCTGTCTATTGCTTCTGTATGGGCTCACATGGTTGGTCATGTGGCGTGGTAAAACGTGGATATGAAAGCCTTGTGGGATAGGGGCATCTAGTTTAGGGTTGTGTGGAGGAAAGCTCTAGCAGTTTGTGGCACGTGATGAGGATAACGAACAGATGATTTCGGCGGAATCTCTGTGGCTGCTCTAAGTTCCTATTCTCGAACAAAAGCGTAGCATTGCATTGGGTGATCGTTTAGAGATTGTATGTAGAGGGGGTTAGAAGAAGCTGAACTGAGAGGAAGACTTCAATCAAAGGGGACGGGGCAATCGTCTTGATTATTCGTGGTGATTTTTTCAAAGAGATCTTGCCCCAGCTTCCGAATTTCCATTCTATTCTGCTTGCTTAGCGCATTCAACTCAACGAGTCCAGCGCATTCGTTTGGGCAGCGACCACTCTTATAGCACGCTAACCCCAGCTTGGCTTCAATCTTGTTCTGTGTCCTGCCAGAAGCCGAGCCCCCTCCCCTGCGTGCGATCATCAGCTCGCATCATTATCAGCGTCGTCATCACCCTAACCACACCCATAGGACGGCAACGCAGAAAGGGGGAGAACCGCAACGCTTCCATGCACCATCGTATATACAAGAGAAAGAGCCGAGTACGTGGAGTCGGCCTTCTTTATAGTCGGATGTGGTCTTAGATATTGGCGAGGTATAAACACGCATGGAAATACCGTAATTGAAGGATAGAAGCGGAAGAAAGGAAGCCGCTGCGTGGATTAGGTACGGATCGGTGCTTAGGGTTGATCGTCTGCGGCTAGGATTTGCGGTCCAGTCAAAAAACGCTGTCTATTGGTCTTGTTTGGTTTGGCATTACCAGCTATATACTTAAGCCGCTAAGGCGACGGCTACATGAACGTACTATTGTGTTGCCGGGAGCTCGAGAACGCTTCTCCCAAAAGTTGTAAAG